GACTTGGTGGGCGGGGTGGCCAAGAAAAGTCACAAGACACCTTGGGCTGCACTTCAGGGCACAGGGCCGCGCCGCTGTCTTCTCCCCTAGCCAGACCTCGTCTGAAGTACGTCATTGCATACTGGGTTTTAGAGGTGATTAGTATAAAATACCAAGGTGATAAGATTAATGATTTGTACTGGGATAATTTGGAAAGGCATTTGGCTGAATCGATGTCATTTGACTGGTAATAAGTTTTATTTCATGCTTTAAATACAGGGTGCATATTATTATTGCATTTCTAAATTCTTTTATATTGTGAAATTTGAGAAATCATTATATCAGAAATTCTGTTAGATCAATAACTTTTAAAAAATTTGGATGCTGTTAGATTACATACAAATTGAACTTTTAAGAGGATATGATAGGGGCAGCTAGGTGGCCCAGTGGATAGAGCTTCAGCCTTGCAGTCAGGAGGACCTGAATTCAAATCTCAGCCTCAAACACTTGACACTTACTAGCTATGTGACCCTGGGCAAGTCACTTAACTCTGATTACATCACCAAAAAGCAAAAAATAAATAAAAGAATGTGATAAAATAGATATTTGAAAATGGTTAAACATTATTGGGGGTATATTTCGTTTGAAAACAGATAAATAATAATATGTTTACTATAATAGTGTGTTTTTATTTGAAAAATTTTGGCTATCACTTATAAAAATTATAAAATATATACAGTGGGGGGCAGCCAGGTGGCACAGTGGATAGAGCACCGCTCCTGCAGTTAAAAGGACCTGGGTTCAAATTTGGCCCCTAGACACTTACTATCCATGTGACCCTGGGAAGGTCACTTAACCACAATTGCCTCCAAAAAACCCCAAACAAAAAAGAAAATGTGTAGTGTGTTTTAAATACATTACTCAATATGTTAATATGAGTCAACTACCAAGTATTTGTTGTATGTCCGAAACCCTAGAATGTAGTTAATTTAACTTGTAAGTGAAGGATAAATGAAATGTAAGTGTTAGAAAAACATGATAAAATTAATAACATTCAAGCTCTAAGCTGCGGCTAGTGAAATTTTGCTATTTGAGGTAAAAACTCTTGAAACTATAATTTACCATTATTTTGAGTTTTGATTACAGGGATGGTCATCTGAAATATCATGAAGCCAATGGTATAAGATGGCATATGCTGCAGTCTGAGCTGCTACAGATGGAGGCCTGTGCCTGGGATAACTGTGGCAGGGCTGAGGGTAGAAGCTTCTTGACTCAGTTTCCCCATTGGGCTATTTCCTTTCTGAACAGAACATTTCCCCACCTGGCTCATCTTGAGCCTTGCTTTCGATACCCTGTGACTACACGATTGGCTGTAGATATGACTCATGCCTGGAATCAAACAGAGGTAAGGGAGTTTTCCCCTGTCATATGGCACATGTCGGGTCAAGCTGCGCTCTTCAAGGAATGAGTCTTGACATTTCTAGAACTATGTCCCTCCTTTTTGTAGCAAATTTCTACAAATGGGGCTGGTGAAGCAGCAGTTTTATAAGTACAACATTAACTCTGTTAATTAATTAATTAGTTAATAATTAATAGGTTGATACTGGAACATCTGTGATTTACTATAATGGGATGCAAGTATGAAAAATCTTACAATTTTAATCTATATTTGTAGTGAAAACATAATATAAAGATGGTATTCTCCAAAAGGGGAAATTAAATAAAGTAACAAAGATATAATGTAAAAGTTTTCTGATTAAATAGAATAGTAAAATTTGAGAAGGCAACAGGATTAGACTATTTCCTCTAAGAACTATACTATGTGTACGATTGGCTTCCACATGTATCTAGCATAGAAGTTCAGACTTTGAGTATGTTTTAGTAACAAATTCTCAAAATTGGATTAAGGGTTTACCTATAAAATTGTATTGATAGTTGTAAAAAAAGTGAAATTACTTTCCCATTTTGAAAGTATCTGAATTTTAAAAGACAGAAGAGTTCATTTTACAAATTAGACCCTTGTGAATTTTTTTTTTTAAAGATTCTTGTATCAGGTACAGGGTTTAGGTAAAGACAGAAACAGCAAGTGGTATATAAAAACTTAAATTCTTTGAAGTTTCAGCTGAATTATGGGTTCCTAATTTCACGTTCTTCTTTTTATGCTAGGCAATGGGGTTAAGTGACTTACCCAGGGTCACACAGCTAGTGAGTGTCAAGTGTCTGAGGCCAGATTTGAACTCAGATCTTTCTGAATCTAGGGCCAGTGCTCTATCCACTGCACCACCTAGCTGCCCCTCATGTTCTTCTTAAAGCTTTGTTGTTAGTAGGATCAGGGCCATAAGGCTTGAGATGGTTTTCATCACATGAACTAGTTATTGGAAAACCAAATTTAAGAGATTGTACTAAATCATATTAAGTCTTGTTACTGGCAGATTTTATCAGAATTACCTAGGAATCTCTACAGTGATCTGGAACCAGACAAGCAGAGCCTCCTTCAGAGATGCTCTGGAATGAGGCCTGTTCCAGAATGTCCGGGGCCCAGGTGACTCCGTGGGCCATCTGGCACTCCTTCCCTGGTTGGGCTGAGTAAATGGACATCGGCAGTGGGTTACTAGGATACGAGGAGGCTTGATATTAGTTAATACTGATGACCATCACTGTATTGCTTTGCCCTTTTCTTCATGGTGTTTGTATTTATGTTTAAGTTTTCTTGGTTACCTTGGTGATGCGTGAATCTCCCTTCTCAAAATTATCCCACTGTGAGTTCTCTAAGTAATTTGATCTGTAACCTGACTTCCGTAATTCTGATTATGATATGAAAAGCCTTACGGGTTTTGCTTATGGATAAGTGATCCACGGTGGGGGGGTGGGGGATGGGCAGCCCACTTCCCCATGAATCAAAATGGGGAAATTGAGGGAACTGCAACAAATGGTCATTGTGGAAACTGAATGAACCACGCCGACTCCATCTTCTGACGCAATTCTGGATCTAGCTCAGTTTGCTTTCTATTCAATTATGGATCTGGTCTAATTTCTGTCTTGTGAGAAAACCTTATTCAATTACGGGAATCATGAGAAAATGCTTGCCCTGTTTGAACTGAGCACTGCACGGCTGGGAAGTTGGACCACCCCTACCCGGCTTAGAGATCCTTAACTAAGGACTAGCTGACCCAAACCCAGTCAGATCCAAAGAACGATGCAGCTCAAGCAGCCCATGTGTCTTATTTGAAAACTGGCCCCACGTTGATCAATCAGCTACTGTTCCTGTGTTCCTCCGAACGTTTACAGATGCTTAGGCTTTTTCTGCTCCCTGTTCACTGTCCCCTTCCCGACTTGGAGATCCCTAATCTTCCCTCTAATTAGAGATCCTATTACCTAATGTTGTATCCTGGTTAATTGTTTTCTTTGATTCAGTCTTATTTGATTATTTTTTTTTTTTGCAGTTGGGGTTAGATGACTTACCCAGGGTCACACAGCTAGTAAGTGTCAAGTGTTTGGTCTGGGTGGATTTGAACTCAGGTCCTCCTGACTTCAGGGCCGGTGCTCTATCCACTGCGCCACCTAGCTGCCTCTGATTAATTGTTTTTGATGTATAAAAGTTGGCCTCTCCCTATATTTGGGGACTATCCCTAAGCTGAGGAAGATGCCTGGACCTGACTTGTCACGCAATTGGCACTCCTTGCTTAATAAATCGATATGCCCCAAAGTCGAACCTTCATTTCCTCAGTCATCCCATCTTTCACCCGCTACAATACCACGGTCTGAGAACATGGAGTAGCTGGAGGAGTGTCCAGAGGAGGATGGCCAGGACAGGGAAGGGCTCTGACCCCGTGTCACTTGGGGATTGGTTGAAGAAGCTGGGAATCTTTAGCCTGGAGAAGAGAAGTTGAGAGGAGGGGCAGGAGAACTGGGTTTGAGCATCCCGGGGCTTTCAGATGGAGGACTTGCTCTGCTTGGCCCCGAAGGGCAGAACCAGCAGCATTGGGTGGAAGTTATGAAAGGACCCACTGAGGCTGGATGTCAGGGACAACTTTCTAATGATGAGAGGTCTCCTGGAGTGGAACAGGCTGCCTTGAGAGGCAGTGGGCAACCCCTCCTTGGGGGTCTTAAGGCAGAGGCTGGAGGATCTTGTGTTGTCTATGTTAGAGTGCGGGTTTCTGTTTTTTGGTTGCCTTTTTGGTGAGGCAATCAGGGTGAAGTGACTTGCCCAGGGTCACACAGCTAGTAAGTGTCATGCCTCTGAGGTCGGATTTGAACTCAGGTCCTCCTCATTCCAAAGCTGGAGCTCTATCCATCGCGCCACCTAGCTGCCCCTAGAGTGGGGATTTCTTCCAGGGAGGAGTTGGAATAGATGTCCCCAAGGTTTCTTCCAATGCTCAAAATCCGAAGGTTCTGTAATCCTGTGTTAGCATTTATTCACTTCACGTTCATCTGGGTTGCTGCTGCTCAGCTGTTACAGTCGTGACCGACTCTTTGTGATCCCATCTGGGGTCTTCTTGGCTAAGATCCTGGACGGGTTGGCCATTTCCTCCTCCAGCTCATTTTACCAATGAGGAAACTGAGGCAGACAGGGCAAAGTGACTTGCCCAGGGTCACACAGCTAGTAAGCGTCTGAGGCCGGATCTGAATTCACAAAAAGGAGTCTTCCTGACTCCAAGCCTGCACTCTGTGCACTATGGTGCCACCAGACTGTGTTTGCTTGTATTTAGCCTTGCTGTCTACCTGATTGGAATTGAAGCCCAGTGTGAGTCAGGGTTGCCTCGTTCTTTGTACTCGGTGTCAGCCACTCTTAGCACACGGTCCCTGGCCCACGGCAGACCATGAATGCTTGACTGGCTCCGCCATCAGAGAAGCTGAGCTCTTGGGGAATCATTTAACTTCCCTGGGCCTCAGTTTCCTTATCTGCAAAATGAAGAGGTTGACTGAGGAGGCTGTTGAGGTCCTGTCAGACTCTAGATCAGGACCCCTGATTCTGGCTTTGACATTCTTCCGTTCTAATTCTTGCAATGATACAATTCATCTGGAATTGGTTGGAATTTTTATTTGAGAAGAACACTAAAACTTTTGTTCATGTCTGCTCGGGCTTCTGGTCTTCTGCTGCTCATAGAACATGGTTGTCTGTTCATGGACACAGCTTTAAAGACCTGGAACCACTGGCCCCCCAGGGGGCTTGGTCTTTGCAAGAGAATCCCCCATTTCCTGTGTGCACATGATGAATCCCCCATTCTTTGGTGGAGAGTGAACCAGGGAGCTTCCTACTTGCTTGGGGGCTTTTCTAGCTCGGGCTCTCTCTCTGCCTCTCTGTCTCTCCCCCCCTCCCTCTCTCTCTCCTCTCTCTCTGTCTCTCCCTCTCTCCTCTCTCTCCCCTCCCTCTGTTTCCTCTCTCTCTGTCTCTCTCTCACACACATACATACATACATACACACAATACATCCAGCATTCATATAGGTATGGTCAGCCCTCACCCCCAGGCCCATCACTGTGAAGCTTTTAATGCTCTTGGGGAGGAAGGCAAGGCCCCTAGGGGCAGGCCTCAAAGGGCTTTGATGCTGCCGCCAAGGGTGCTGGGGCCGTGCAGAGGGCAAGCAGAGGCTGGGGGGAGTTGATGTCTGAGCAGGGCTCCAGAAAGACCGGCTGGACCAAAGGCCACTTGGTGGCCTGGGCAGAGGAAGTTGGCAGTGCGGTGCAGGGATTTGGAGACAGAAGGCTTGGATTCGAATCTTGGTGGTGTTCACTTAGTCACTCGACATCCTTTTCCTCCTCCATGAATTGGGGGTGGGTGGGGGGTCACACAGGGACATAGATTTAGAGCTGGAGGAGACCATGGAGGTCATATATTCCAACCTCTTCATTTGACAGATGAGGAAACTGAGGCCTGATTTGCCCAAAGTCCCCTAGGTGGCATGGTAAATGCAAGAGTCAAACTGGGGTCCTTGGCCTCCAGACTCACTCCCTTGCTTGGCTGTCCCCGTCTCTCTCTAAGGGCCCCCCAGATCTACACCCTCCCATCCTATGAGTGGGGCTGATGGGAAGAGGCTTGTATATATGTGTATATTAGAGACAGAGAATCAGAGACAGAGACAGAGGGAGCACTGCACAGGGTGGAGAATTCCTGCCTCCCTTTGTCCAGCCCCTGTGGAGGGTCTCAGGCACTCGGAGGCCCAGGATGGCCCTGGCCAAGGGCTTAGGGTGGGGGTGGGGTGGAGCAGGGCCTCTGGGTGGCAAAGGTCAGTCCAAGCCCATGCTGGGTGGGGGATAAGCCACGGCTGCGTTCTAGGGGTTGAGTATGGTCCTTGGTGAGGATGGGGAAAGGGGGCCTCCCGTTTGTCCATCGTCCTTCTCTCAGCTGGTCTCTTTTTCAGGTTCATAGGATTGCAGAGGGATATTCTGAACCTCTGTCTCTTCTGGCTTTTTCCTGAGAATTTGGGGGGAGGGGAGAAAGCATAAACTCAGAACACCTCTCACAGTCTCTCCCTAAGGTCATCCTCATTAAGGGGGATACAGGCCCTGGGCCGAACCCCCCACTTCATCTCCATTCCCATCCCCCCTTGCCCCCATCCCTACCCCAGTTCCCAACTATGTCAGCACTTCTGCATGAGTCAGATGCCCGAGAGAGCAGGATACAAGTGAGGCCAAGGAGAGAGTGTTCTGTTTGTGTCTGAGGGGAGAGAGGGCTGCTCATAACGCCGTCTTGGGAGTGGGAGCGGGAGGGGGTCCTCACTAGATATGGCTTCTGAGTCTCCCTTTGGTAGAAGAGACTACACAGCTATTCTCCTGCCTCCCAGACCACCCCTGCAGCCTCAACCAGAGGCAGAACCAGCTAGTCGAGTAGCCTTCCTCGGTCTCCCTTTGGGAATGAGTCTGCTGTGGCAAACCCTGGGGCCTCTGTCTCTCCCCCCCATCCAAGGCGGGGGCACTGAGGAGGAATGGGGATCCCTCTGGATGTCAGGGAGGCCACAGTGGGGGAAGGTTGGCTGACCGTCTTTCGAGATCTTCTATCGTCTCTGGAAGGGCCGTGTTGAGGGTCTCTGGCAGGAAGAAGGCAGTTATACCCCCCAGAACGGGAACGAGCCCATAGATGAGGGCTGGAAGGAAAGGTATCATTTCGCCTGTGATCTTCACCAGCGGGGCTACCATACTGCCCATTCGGGTGCAGAGGTTGCCCAGGCCCATTCCTCTTTGGCTGAGGGCAGAGAATGGAGAATAGGTCAGCAAGGGGCTTCGCAACACTTCCCTCACTTACACTCTTCTCTCTGCCCGGTCCTTGGCACTTTGTAAGTCCAGTGTCTTTTTGGGGAGATATGAATTATCTGGGTAGGGGAAAGATTCTGGTGCTTGGTAGGGTGTGTGTGTGGTGTGTGTGTGTGTGTGTGTGTGTGTGTGTGTGTGTGTGTGTGTGTAGGGCATCCCTTTTTATTTCCCTAAAAGGAAGAGGGGCATGCTGGGGCCAAGGCCCCAAGGCTGCCTTTCTGGAAACTCCCCCCAACTTGGCAGGTGATGTAGGCTGGGAGGACCTTGGGAGTGCAGGAGTAGGAGGTTGGGGGTGGGGAGCAAGGTAGGAAGGGGATAAGCTTGGAGAGTGATGGCACCCAGGGCTCAGACTGCCCCCTTTCTGCTTTGGCTTAGCCCAGGACCCTGGCCCTTACCGGATTACTGTGGGATACAGCTCACTGGTGTACAGGATGAGGCAGTTATAGGAGCTGGAAAGACATCCCTTCCCAAAGACAGCGAGGCTGGTCCGTATCGTCGACATGTCTGGGCAGGGGGAAGGAGGTGACAGTGCTGAGACGCTGGGGTCAGGGGGCTCAGGAGCCTCAGGGAAGAGATGGGGCATGATGGGGGGCCGGATTTTAGACTCTGGGCAAAGGAACTCCCAGTATGCTCTACACTGGGCTGGCGCCAGGTTCTAAGCTTGGGATTCAGACCATGTTCTAGATTCCAATGAAGTGGGCTCAGCAGGGCTCCCAGTAGCTTCTGCTACAATTGCTTCCCGCTTGTGCCCTTCGGCAGCTTTGAACCCTTTCCCCCTTTCCCTAGGTCCCCAAACCTAATGCTCTCTACTGTGCATTCGTAAGAAAACTGCTTTGTAGATGCTCCCATGTGGCGCTTACAAAAACCCTGGGAGGTAGGTGCTATCATTACCTTCATTTTATGACTTGCCTGGGATCATATAGCTTGGAAGGGGCAGACAGAAGATTTCCACCTTACCACTTAGCTGTCTCTAAGTAGTCTCCAAGTGATCGTTAAATCGGGCTGAGCTTAGGGAATGAGGGGAGGGGGGATCACTAGGAAATGTGCTCTTGGACTTCTAATAGTATTACTGTCTAGCTCACACCTTTCCACTTTTTCTGTAAGAACAGAATTCATATTGGTGAATGCACTGATAAAATCCAAGTGAACCCTCTCTGTTTCTGTCTCTGTCTCTGTCTCTCTTTTTCTTACATCCATCTAGCTATTTATCTATCTATCATCTATTTATTCATCTTTTATCTATCATCTGTCTATTTATCTATTATCTATTTTCTAACATTTCTCCATCTATTATCTATTTGTCTATTACCTATTCATTTTTCTTTATTACCTGTCTATTCATCTATTATCTATTCTCTAACATTTAGCTATTTATTATCTAATATCTATCCATCCATTATCTATCATCTATCTATCTATCTATCTATCTATCTATCTATCTATCTATCTATCTATCTATCCTGTCTGTCTATCTGTCTATCCTGTCTATTTGTCTGTCTATCTATATATCCATCTATCTATCCATCCATCCATCTGTCTATCTATCCTGTCCATCTATTGTCTCTACAACGTTCCTGTGATCTCCCTGGCTAGTTATCCTGTCAACAAAGGAAATAGCAGATTGGTGGGGCTTGTGCTGGCTTCCTCTCCGCTGCCCCAACCCGTCATCCTAAAGCCTCTTCAGGTCTCATTCCTCTCCTGGCTTCCCTCTGGATTTCCTCAGAGTCAGGCACTTTTACCCCTCCCCTGCCCCTTCCTTTTCCGTGTTGTCTTCCTCCATTAGAGTGTAAGCTTCTTGAGGACAGGCAGGGACTATCTTTCTTTCTCTTTGTATTTGAATTCCCTTAGTAGAGAGAACCAAAGCTCTGAGCAGAGAGAGAACAAGGCAAGGAGCCTGGGGCTCTGGCCCTCTGAAATCTAGATGGGGCCGACAACCCTCATATTGCAGCAAGGCAGGAGAAGCTTGGGTTTTAATCCTGCCTCTGACACATACCAGCTGTGTGCCATTGTTTTAAGTTTCTGGTTTTTTTATCTGTAAAATGGGTATAATACCCCATCGGAATATTGAGACCCTCAACTGTGAGAACACGAGCCAAGTGTCTTGCAGCCCTTAAAGTGCTGCAGTAACATCTGTAATTATTATTAATATTAAGATGCTGCTCTTGGAGTCAGGAAGGCTTTCCTCTGATATTTACTGTCTGAGTGACCCTGGGTGAGTCACTTCTCGGGACTCCAGACAATTTTCCAAGACTCTAAGCTACCTCTGAGCAGCTTGTCTGTACTTGTGGAAGGAGTTTGGCTAGAGGTAGCGCCCCACAGTGATGAGCTCACAGGTTGGGATCCACACACACAGAACACATTATTTATTCCTTCCTAGGTTGCCTGGTGCACCGCCCAGGAATGGGTCTTTGCCCGACAATGAAATTCTGGGCAGCCTGAGGCCAAGACATGCTGGAGACTCTTGAGAGGCAGCATGGGGTGGTGATTAAAGCACAAGGTTTGAAGTCAGAGGACCCAGATGCTGATCCTAGCTGTGTTATTTATAAGCTGTGTGACCTTGGATAAATCACTAGCCTTTATGGGTCTCTGCTTCCTTGTCTATGTACCGTGTCTTGAATTTGCCTGACTCCTAAGATTCAGTCATGCCCCAGGTCCCTTTCCTCTTCTGGGTTCCCACCTTCTCACCTGAGGGCACAAAGATGTTGGCCAGGATGGCAGTGCCGGCCAAGAGGAGGCAGGCGCCCTGGGTGATCCGTCGGCCCACGTAGCTCAGGAAGAGGACAGAGACGAACTTGGCTGGGATGTCAGCACCACCAAAAATTATCTGGAGCATGTAGATGTTGACTCCAAAGTCCTCCACGCCCATGGCCAGGCTGTAGTACCCAAATCCTGTGGCAAACCTAGAGAGGAGAAGGTCTAGGCTAGCCAACAGCAGCTAGCAGGAATCACTGGAGCCCATAGGCTCTCAAGGAGGTGGATAGTTAAGAGATTTGGCCTCAAATCAAGGTCACCCACTTCCAGGCTGTGTCGCCCTCGGCTGATATATGACTCTAGAGCCTCAGTCTCCTCATCTGTAAAAACGCATTCTCTACTTCACTGGAGGGTTGTGAGCCATGCCACACTATAGAAACATGAGCTTTGATTATTTTTAAAAGACTTTTTAATGTGCTTTGATTATTAACATGATTGGGACACATATGGGAAAGCGCAATGGCCAGGTCCCTGCTGCTGTAAGCCTGGAGCCAAAGATAATAATAATAATAATAATAATAATAATAATAATAATAATAATAAAAATAAACTAATAGCTAGCATTTACAAAGTACTATAAAATCTGCAAACCACTTTGCAGATATGATCTTATCTGATCCTCACAATAACCCTATGAAGTGGGTGTTATTATCATCCACATTTTCTTTTCTTTTAATCTACATTTTCTAAACGAGGAAACTGAGGCTGAGAAAGAATGTGTGGATTATCCGTATGAAGGTAGATGCTATTGTCCCCTTCCACTGGAAGACTTTCTCAGCCCTCTGGGACACAGAGACCATAGCAGAAGGGGGCAGAGGATTTTGGAGTCACAATGTAAATCTCCAGAAGAGAATTAATTGTGCACTGGTCCTGGAGAGAGCCCTGCACACCTAGGGAACTACGTGCATTGAGTAGCTAGCCCCAGACGCAGCCAGGGGAGGAGATAGAGACCCAGAACAGAGAGGAACAAATCTATAATGGAGGGAATAAGCCTTTATATGGTGCCTAGCATGTGCCAAATGCTTTAAAACCATGATCTCATCTGGTCTTCACAACAGCCCTGCAAGGTAGGTGTTATTATGACCCCAGACTGGTGAAGTGATTTGCCCAGACAGCTAAGTGTCTGATGCTGGATTTGAACTCAGGTCTTTTTGATTCGAGGCCTAGCAGTCTGTGTAATGTGGCACTCCCTAGCTAGAGCCTTCTTCTTGTTAGCCCCAGGTTGGGGGTGGGAAGGGAGAAGAATTTTCCTGACAAAGTACTTGGGAGTCAGCCTGTTTTGCATTTTTATTGGGTTACATAAAAATCTGTCCTGTATTCAATGTCTTGTTAGCCTGAGTACTTGCAGGGGAACTGAAAGCCCTTTGGGGAGAGAAAAATGAACCAGAAACAGATGTATTACTAAATGGGAGGCATGAGTCGGAAAGACTGTATGAGAGTCCCTCCAAAATTTTACTGGGCTTTTATGTAAGTCGGTGAGTGAGGGGTAGTGTCAGAACACTAGCGTTACAAGTGACTTGTTTCTGGCCACCCAGAGAAGCAGACTAAGTTCCTGGGTACTTCAGGGTGTCCAGCTCACCAAATGAGAGAGATGCAGCAAGATATCCGGCGCAGGGCGGAGTTTTGGAAGAGGCTGAGCATGCCGTAGGAGGTCTTGCTTGAGGCGATCTCCTTATGAAGGTTGAGTTTCAGTTCCTGGGGTCAGAGAAGGGCCAGGCCCCTGGTTAGCTACCTTGGGTCACAGGTACCTTAAGAATACTGCAGCCCGGGGTAAGGGTCAACTCCTTCCTTCTTCTCTGTCCCAAAGGGACCCTGGGTGGGTGCGTGTGTGTGAAATACTACACTCACCACATTTCCTAGGAGCCACCGTGACTGGGGTGCCTGAGACACTCTTCCAATGGGCATCAATTCCAGTCCTCCAGGGCATAGGACTCCTGACTGTATAAACCCTGCCCCCCACTCCACAATCCCTCCCATTTCCTAGAGGGTGATATTGATCCTCAGTGGTACCCTTCTCTCCAGAATGTTAGGGAAGGTCCTGGGATGGCCCGAATGAATTCTCTGACAGGGCCTTCCTTGGACTGGTAGCCAACAGCTCAAACGCATCCTCACTGGACAAGCATAGGTAATGGTGGGTAAGTCATGGGACCCTGCATTCCTCTTCTTTAAAATAAGGACAGTCTGGCCAGTCTATTTGCAAGGATTGTTCCAATTTGACTGAGAGGTTCAAAAAGCATAAAGGACTGGGGAACCCTTGGCAAATCTCAAGCCTCCAGTGAGCATCAAAGTGGGATGCCTGGAGATGATGGTAAGTGTGGTGATGGGGACAAAGGACGAGAGAGAGAAAGAGGAGTGATAAGGAGAGGGAGAGATGTGGGAAGAAGAGAAGGATTTGGGCTCTAGCTTAGAACTCAGGAATCAAGGGCAGACCATAAACTCCAAGCTCTCGGGTTCATGTTCTGAGTCTTTACGTGGTCTTCCCTCACCTTGGACAGAGGAGCAACCCTAGGGAATGGGACTGTGGGCTAGAGGGACATATGCCCTTCCAGCATGATCTGGCCCCGCCCCAAGATGGGGGCTGGGCTCTCCCAGGACCTCTGAGGGCTCAGCCTGAGGATTTGAGCTCTAGAATCTGCTGGGGCCCCTGGTCCCATGATCTGGGAGCTGTCTCTCCCAAGTCAGAGGGTCATAGGGAAATCAGCACAGTGATAGATGGACTCCATTCCTCTGTTTAAGGTCTTTCCCTGGATCCCTACTGTCTGCAAATAGAGTGGCCTGATCTATCCTACCTTCAAGGATCCAACCCAACTCCTTTGCTCTCTCCTTCCTGAAGATGCCTGCCTGGTACTTTCCCACCTCCAGGCCTTTGCTCACGCTACTTTCTACCCCTACAGAGTTGAATTTCTATTCATGCTTTAAATGCTGAGCTAAATGCCACTTTTTTTTGGGGGGGGAGCTAGGCAATGGGGTTAAGTGACTTGCCCAAGGTCACACAGCTAGTAAGTGTTAAGTGTCTGAGGCTGAATTTGAACTCAGGTCCTCCTGATTCCAGGGCTGGTGCTCTATCCACTGCACCACCTAGCTGCCCCTAAATGCCACTTCTTCCAGCAAGGCTTCCTGGATACCCTCAAATTCTGTAACCTTCGCTCTGGAATCTCATGGGATAAAGAAAAACTTCCTAACGAAGTTGCTTTCCCTGGAGGTCACTGGCCTCCTGAAGCAGAGGCCAGCTAGCTGACCCCTTGTCCAGGGTGCCTCTCGGGGGCTTAGGCAGCAGCTGTGGTTCTGGACTTTGCACTTCCTTGATCCACTCACCATGGAACGTGGTGCCTTATCCCCTGGGGCCTTCTCTGTGTTGGTGTAAACTGGAATGCGAAGAAATCCGTAAAGGAAGGGACTGGGGCTTATCTACTTTCTGCATCTGTCCCGGACCTGGGCACTAAGCTCTGTACACAGTAGGTGATTAGCAAATGCTCCTGGTGGCTGGCTAAGCTTTCCTGCCCTCAGCGGGTGGCTTGGCCCCCTGGCTTTCTCCCACTCCCTGAGGGTCTGGTCTGGAAGGCCAGGCCTGGTGTCCCTGGCTGAGGCTGTGCTGAGCCTCTCCTGTGTGTAAAGGACTCTGATACAATTCCTTCCTCCTCCTCCTGCCCTGGGCCCCTCAGGCTGTAACTGCTCTGAGGCCCCACTTCAATGGAGTCCCACTCAGGCTGATCCTTGCCCGGCCTCTAGCCATTTGGGCCCTTAGCCCCCTCCCTCTGACCTTTAATGCCTGGCCTGGCCACCAATTCTCTGGCTCAAGGAACCTTCTTGGCCGCCAATCACATGTGTACTGAGCCAGGAGGTTAATCTTTACAGGCACTCATTGAAGGGGCATCTTAGGAGAAGGGGAAGGGTTTGCCTGGTGGGGGGAAGTCCAAGGCTTTCCTCCAGCCACCCCAGCGCCCGGGCCCCACCCCTGAGCCCCTCTGCTGAATGTCCTGGGGCCTCTCCCAAGGGCCCGTGCCCCCTCTACCTCCAGGCTGAGTTTCTTTCCCTCTTCCTTCCTGCCGTTGAAAGCTGCAACCCTCTGGAGCTCCTTCAGGGCCTTCGGGGACTTCCCGGTCAGGACCAGCCATCGAACAGACTCAGCCACCCACCTGGGTGGGAAAGAATGCTGGTCTGGGAATCAAGAGACCTGGGTTCTAATCCCGGCTCAGCCACTGATTTGCTGCAGGTCCTTGGGATAAGTCCCTTTCTCTCTTTGGACCTCAGTTTCCTTATCTGTCAAATGGGGGCGGTGTGGGGTTGGAGCAGATGATCTCTGAGTTCCCAGTCAGGCCTGGGACTTCTGCCTGCTGGCCGAGGCTGAGGGGGAGGGGGAGCTTGTGGGGACAGGGTAGGAAACATAAGCCGCTGCTGCCCTGGCCAAGCCTCCCCCTCCTGCTGCTCCGTGTCCCCACAAGCTGCCTTTCCATTCTTCCCCTTCCAAAAGCAACCTCTGGGCCAGGGGCCATGTTTTCTTGGCTGCGTCTTTCTCAGCTGGGGACCCCTGGGGGCTGCGGAGCGACTGGTATGCCAGGCAGGTGGGAAGGCAGAGGAGCCTGGGATGGAGGGGGGTGTCTCTGGCTTGGCTCAGCCTCCTAGGAATGTGGGGGTTGGGAGAGTCAGCCTGAAGCTGGAGGCCACAGTGCTTCCCACTGATGGAAGGGCCCGGATCTGATGGGGTCAAACCAAGATGGGATGGTGGGCACACCTCCCTGGCTGCAGCTTAGAGGCTAGGAGGAGGGTGTGGGGCATGAGGACTCCCTCAGACTCCCGGCCTTGCATGCTGGAAAAGGAGGAGCGCCGTCTTCCCCTGTGTGGCCACAGCCCAGGCTGGCTTAGGGGTCTCGGAGAGACAGGTAGCCCCTCCGACTTGGAGTCAGGAGGGATCTGGTGCTTAGGAGCTATGTTACCTGGGCCGGATCACTTAGCCGCTCACCTCAGTGACCTCACCTGCCGAAGGGGACAACATCCACGCTCTCCTTGCTCACAAATGGGGGGCTCTTAGGAACAGAGGCTTTGCATGGAGGTTGTGAAACTCCATAGAAATGGGGTCAGTGTTCTCAGGTTTATTGGGCAGCCCAGAGGTGAGGGCTCCAAACACCAGGCCTAGGAGGCCTTAGGACCAGCTCTACTTTCCTTGGTCCTTCTGCACACCCCGGCCACCGTGACAACCTCCCCATGCTCACCCTGCCTCTGGCTCCTCCCCAATTCCACCAGAAGGCCGGATGAATTTTCCTTAAAGATGAAGAAGTAACAACAAGAATAATAACTACTGAAGTTTTGAGTGGTCTTAAGGCAATGCTTCTCCTGTGGGGTAGGTGGTAGCGGGATTATGGACCCTATTCTACAGATGAAGAAACTGAGGCTTGGGGAGCAGACATAACTTGTCTGGAATCACACAGTCAGCAGGTGTTAGAGCCAGAATTCAAAGCCAGGTCCCTTGGGTCCAGGTGGACGGAGGGGGCAGGCCCCCTCCCAACATCCTGCTCATCCTCTCCTCGATCCCCAGGAATCTGAAATGCTCTCTTCCATCCAGAGGCCAATGGTGCAGCAGTGGCCAGACCTCCCACCAGCCCCTCTGGAGCACTGTTCTCTTTCCCATCCCCTCCCGGGATTCCAGTGACTCCATTGTTGTGAAGGATCCAAGAAGGCCGGGCCTCCTCCTTTGCCTGACCTGCTGTCCTGCCTCTATCTGGTTGGGGAGGTGGACCAGGGGTAGGGACCTTCTGACCCATCAAGGCAATGGCCCTGAGACGAAAGCTAGACAGAAGACAAGCAGTGGCTACTTTGGGGAGCTCCAGAGACCCTGGGGCCCACACGTGAACATGTGAGGACAGAATGTGGGAATGGGTACAAGTAAATGGGGAGCAGTGAGCGTATGAGGCATTCAGTGCCTGGCCCCCTGAGGAGCTGGCTGGGTTAGGACCCCCAGCCTCTTAGTGTCCCTGTTCGGGTTGGGCTAACATCCTAAGCTACACAGAGCTGTCCAGCCCAGATAGATGATATACTCTAAGGGGATGAGGCAGGGGAAGGGAGGCTGAGCGGGCTAGGGGCTTGGGGGCTGGGGGGTGGGGGTAACGGCTTGCCTTCTAAAGTACTCCAGATGAGAGAGGAGCTTCAGCTGCGGCTGGGGCTCTGGGTCCCTTGGAAGCAGATGGGTCATGGGTGTGAGGGGAGGTGGTTGGAGGGGGAAAGGGAAGTTGTTGGGTCACATACCAGGACGAAAGGAAGAAGACGTAGAATGGAGTTGATACCACGAACTGCAGCCATCGCCACTCAGTGATGGTATATGCCAAGCCCGGAAGGATGAATTGACCGATGGTGTAGAAGTAGCCGGTGATTGTAGACTGGATGGCCCGAATGTGGGTAGGTACCCATTCGACGCCTGGGGAGAAGCAGGTGACCAGGCGGGCAGGAGGTCAGTTATCCACTCTTGCCACCCATGGTCCCCAGAGCTGCCTGCCTGGGATTGGCACAGACAGTAGGCTGGGGAAAGACCCCTGGAAGGTGGGGAATGGACTGCATTCCCTGATAGACCTAGAATCTCAGGATGTAGAACAAGGGGCCCTAGTGATCATTTAATCCAACCCCCTTTGTGTGCAGAAGCCCAGGCCCAAGGAGGGAAGGCCATGATTGAACAGTTCTTGCGGCCCGTCCCTCTCCTTTTACAAGCAGAGACCCAGAGAGGGCAAGAGACAGTCCCCAGGACACATGGGTGGTGAGAAGTGGTCAGGATCTATGCTGGGGAGTCACCATGGCAAAGGGGGAAAGAGGGATGACTTTGGGGGTGAGGGGACCTGGGTTTGAAACCCACCTCTGTCACCCCATGGCTGTGGAGTTTGACCTCTGAGGGGGGCTGGACCCAGTGGCTTCTAAGCCCCTCTTGGCTCTTGATTTGTGACCTCACTGAACCTTAGGGCAACTCTCTTCCAGCCCTCTGACCAGCTTCCCCTGGGCTTCCCCCAGAGCCATGAGCTGTCCCGTTCCCCCACGTTGTTTGATGGCCACTCACACAAGATCACAGTGCTAAGAGAGATGCCTGAGAGGCTGCATCCGGCCAAGAAACGAAAGAAGGTGTAGGACAGGAAGCTGGGCGAGAAGGCTGAGCAGGTGCCGCTGACAGCCAGCAGAAGGTAGCTGAAGGTGAGGATGGGCTTCCGGCCAAATCTACACAGGGAAGGAGAGAAGGCCCGAGGGAGCGTGCTGAACTGCCTCCCCCCCCCCCCACCGGCAGAGACCAGGGGCCTGCCCCGGGCCTCTGCTAATAGGGGCCCAGCTGTGTAACTTCTTCCTGGGACTTCACCCTGCTGCTAATTGTTGTTTTGAAATGGTTTGCAATTAGACATTTGGGTTAATGAGTGATTCTCTGCCACTTCCTCAGGTTAGTGTCTTGGCCACCTCCAGCATCCTAGGGGCCTGGGCCCATGTTGCTATGACCACACTGTGCCAGGGCTAGAGGGACCTCCTGTCCAGGAGCCACCAGGAGCTCACCTGCCCAGGCCTTTCTGGAGGCCAAGGGAATGGCCAGAGAGAGAAAAAGAGAGCCTGGGACTGACAGGAAAGTGGAGTCCTAGGGGCCTTTCCTTGTTGGGAGCAGGGTGGGGAAGCTGGGCCCAGGGCCTGGGGTGGAAGAGGGCCGTGGCCCCGCATCACCTGTCCGACAAGCTGCCAAACACTATCCCTCCAACCAGGATGCCGCCCATGTAAAAGGACTGGGCCATCTCCTTCATCTGGCGGGAGTTGCACACCAAGTCCCACTGCAGGGCAGAGAACCGCAGGTCACCAAGGTTAGAGCCAGAAGGAGCCTCCCAGGAGGTTGTCCAGCCCAAGCCTCTCCTTTGGCTAATGAAGAAAGTGAAGCCACGAGAGGGGAGGCCATGGGCATAGCTGGGATTTCTCCTGGGGCTTCTCCATCTCACTTCAAGGCCCAGGCTCTTTCCATCAAGCCCCATTCGACTGTCCCGCTTGGCCTGCCCCTCGGCCTCAGTGGGAGTCATGCCCCTGATTTCCTGGCCCTCCCCTCTCTGAATGCCCAGAAGCATGCTGGCTGGACGTGGGCTTCGCTGAGGCACGCCCAGACAAAGCAGGACACCCTCCCTTCTACCTTCCCTTCACTAGCTCTTTCTCCAGCTCCCTTTAAGGCTAAGCGCAAACCCCACCTTCTGTGAGGGGACTTTCTTGGATTTCCTCCACCCGTCCTCTGAGGCCACAGCAATTTCGTGTGTCCCCCATTGGATTGTGGGGTCCCTGAGGGCAGTGACCCTGTTCTGGCCTTTTTTTGGGGCCCCCCCCGGCTGGTGCATAGTAAGGGCTTAATAAATACTTGGTTCCTGACTAACCCCACTTCTGAGTGGGGCACCAGAGAGAAATCTCAGGAGAATCGGCCTCCTCCCCAATATGAACTGGGGCCTGGCCTTGGTGAGAGAGGCAGAAGGCTGTGGGGGGCAGGGCATCAAAGCCCTGGGGTCCCGAGTTCTGGACTCGACCTCTCGGGTCCCTTCCAGCCCTGGTCTGTGCTCCTCTGACTCTTGGGTGAGGCCCTGGTGCTCTGCACTGCTCCTTTGTAAGCTTGGGGACTTTTTCTTATGGTTTTTTTCCCCCTAAGTTCTTGCTGAAAAATTCCAAGAGTATATCAGCTGACCTGAGGGGGGAAGGGGCTTTGCTCCTAAGTAGGCCAGGGAAACTTGGCGATCAGAGACTCAGGCAGGGGCTGAGCCCAGGGAACTTCCTAGACCCAGAGCAGGGCCGAGATTAGAGCTGGCGGGTGGACTCTTAGGACTGGAAGGGGCTCTAGGGGTGGTCTGGTCCAAGCCCCTCCCAGCACAGAGGGAAGAGCTCGGCCTCAGAGAGGGGAAGGGGCTTGCCCAGGAGGGCCATGACCCTTCTGATGCAGAGGAGAGTTTAGGGGAGAAGGGGAGTGAGGGCCAGCTGCCCTGACCTTTTTTCTCTGTGACAGGAGTTTCCCTCCCTGAGATCACCAGAGATAGGCTGCCTGTCTCAGGAGGTGGACTGGATGGGCTAGGGGAGCAGGGACTGAGAGCCCCAAGAGGGCAGCCTCCTAGACATTGAATGGAAGGAAACTCAGAGGTCAGGCAGCCCAACCCTCCCATTCTACAGATGAGGAAACTGAGGCCCAGAGACCTGCCCAGGTCACATGCTTCTGAGAGAGGCAAGATTTGAACCCAGGCCCCACATTTCCAGAGGCTCTGCAACTTTCCTTCAGTATGAAATGAGAGGGTTGGCCTCTAAGGTCACTCCCAGCTCCAAATCACCTGATCGGATTAGCGGGCTGAGGTCAAGAAGACGCAGAGAGTGGCGGCAGAGCTGGGCCATTTACGGAGGGGGAGAAGGGGCACCAAGGAGAGAATTTCAGAGCTTCCTTACTTCTACTGAAGAGGGGCTTGAGGCCCAGAGAGTGAACGATTTTCTCAGGGTCACATGGCTAGAAGTGTCTGAGGTGGGATTCGATCCCAGCTCCTCCTGAATTTAAGTCCAGGGCTCCTCCGTGGGAAGAGCATTGAGGTGGGTGTAAGAGGAGCTGGATTCTTGTCTTGACAACTTAGAATCACAGACTCGTCGGAATTAGAAGGAAATTTAAGGCTCGTCGAATCCAGGTGGGAAAACTGACTTGGCAGTGACGTGACTGCAGTGGGACAAGCCAACCAACCCTTCCTGAGCCTCAGTTTCCTCACCTGTAAAATAGAGATTGTACTACCTGTCTCACAGGGTTGCAAACGCAGTCTTTATGGAAATGGGAGCACTAAGGGTGTCAGGAAGACCAAGGCTAGAATCCCACCTCAGACCCTTCCTGGGTGCATGGCCCTGAGCAAATCACTTCCACGAGCTGAGCCTCAGTTTTCTCACCTGCAAAATGGGGATAATATCGGCACCTACTTCACAGGGTATTTGTGAGAGTCCGACAAGACAGCATATGCACGGACTTAAAACGCTGTGGAAAGGCTTGCCACCGTTACTATTATTATTATTATTACTAGAGTGGGGAGGTTTGGGGAGGGAGGCATCTGGGTTGTCAGAGGCCGGCAGAACGGGGCCAGGTCTGGGACCTTCTTACCTCCGTCACGATGGTGGAGGCAAATGTACTCCTGTCATAGATCCAGCCGTCCAGGCAGGGCTCCGTGTGGCCCCAGGTTCCGTTGGGGAAGGTGGTGTTGGAGGGGCCCAGCGGCCCTTCCACCGGAGGGTGGGTGAACCTCAGGCACCGGTCGGGTTCCCCGTTGGGCCCGACCGGCAGGGCTGAGGCCAGGGAGGTGGCATTGTGGGCCGGCACGCAGTGATGGGGCGGCGTGGCTGCCGTAAAGATCTGAAGCAGGTTGTGGCTGGCCATGAAGAGGACCGGGAGGGACAGCAGAAGCACATGCATGAACTGGAAGGGCCCCAGGCTGCCCACCCTCTCTAGGATCTCCGAGAAGGTCATGGCGGCAGCGATGAGGAAAGGAGAGCAGGGGCCTCCAGGGAGTTCCTGGGGTGGGTTTTGGTGCTGCGAGGGGGCCCAGGCGGCTGCCTGTGCGAATGGGACCCAGGAGGATGGGCTCACGGGTGCAGCATGGCCCGTCCCTCGGAGGCAGGAAGGAGGCCGATGGAGCCGCTTCCAAGCCTCTGATGGAGAGGTCAGAAGTGCTGGCCCGGGCAGGGCAGGGCAGGGCTGGAGGTGGGGTGGGGGAGCGCACTGAGACTCCGGGAGCAGCAGCTGTAAGGGAAAGAGAAATGCCTTGTCGGAAGACCTGGTTTGCATTCGTCTCCTGGCTTGGCTCTTTTCTCCCTTCCTTACCTCAGTTTCCTCTTCTGTGAAATGAGGCGGTGGGGCTCCCTGGCCTCACAGATCGCTCCCAGCTCTAGATAGCTCTACGCTCCTAGAATCTGGAAGGTCCCTTCCGGCTCCCTCAAAGCTAGGGACCCGGGAGAGAAATGAAGCCGGGGCAGGATCCCTCGCTGTCAGAGGGCCCCCTGGGAGGTGGGCTGGGGGGGACAAACAGGAAGGGGTGCAGCGTATCTCCTCACCTGTGGCGGTCAGGGCCCCCCCTCAGCCCTGAGATTTCCGCGAGGCCCCCTGCTCCTTTCCAAGGTCTCGTGGTTGAAGCTCAGCTGCTTGCTCCCTCCTCTACCTCTCTCACGAACAAAGTGTTTGTCTGCCCCCCAAAGAGGGTTTATATAAGGCTTAATCTGCTCCCTGGGCTAATGTTTGACTTTGTTTAGAGGGATTAACACAAACAGGAAAGAAGGGGCCGCAGGACTTGGGGCCCGACAGAGCCCAAAGTGCAGCCTCAGCAGAGGGTCTCCAGGCGGCAAGCAGCCCTGGGCCCAGGCCACAGGCTGCCAACGTCCCGGGGTGCAGCTTGGCCCGAAGCTCTGGTGGGAGGAGGAGAGGGAAGCTGATTCTCGAAGGTAGACCGATGCCCCCTCCCCACCCCAAGCCCAAACTCATGCTCCGCTGGGAGGGACCCACGCCAGATGAGAAGAACTAGCAGGTGCAGGGAGGTTGTTCATGGGGAGGGAAGTCTGAGAATGCTGAGTTCACCCCCTGCTCCTGGCCCCGTGATCACAGGACTCAGAGCTGGAAGAAAGCTTGGGCCATCCAGCCTGACCCCTCATGTTACAGGAGAGGGCATAGAGTGGAGACAGGTAATGAGATGCCAGGACAGGTGGCAGTTCCAGATGTGACCTTCCGGGGCTCATTCATAGTAAGGGAGAGCACTCAAGCTCCCTGGCCTCCCTCTCTTGGGGACATGGTTCTTCAGACCACCCCAGGGAGAAGGGCGAGGGCGCTCCTGGGCCACCTGGTTGGGCCAAGGTGGGGGGGGGTTTACCACAAATGGTAAACAACAGAGTCAGAATTTCAACACTGGCCCTCTGACCCCTGATCCAGAGCTCTTTGAAGCCTGAAATGATTGGCATGAATGTGCCCAGCACTGGGCTAAGTGCTGCAGGTACAAATGGAAGCGGGCATCCCTGCCCTCGAGACGCTTACATTCTGAGGAAGCAAACGGCTTATATGGGGGAGGGCTGGCCAGGAGGGTGAGTAGGGTTGGTCTGTCCTCTCTGAAGCAATGCTAGTGGCCATTTGATTAGGCTTCCACAGCCCGGGGGGCACTCCCATGGTGTAGTGGGCCTCCCACTGGCAGTCATGCTTCGTTGGGATGGCGCAGCATCTCCTGATTGGTCTTCTGGCATCAAATACATTTGGCAACTGAGTCAGGAGGAGCTAGCTGTCCGATCTGAGGTCTCCATGGAAGTAGAGAACCCTTGAGTTTACCCAGTGTTTGAGCAGTTGAGTGGCTTTGTGGGGTCTTTGAGGCTCTTGGCTTTCTCACCTTTGGACTTTCAACCAGGGGAGGGGAAGGCGATCTCTCTCCCCCACTGCCCGGGGCAACAGCCAGAGGACCATGTGCTTGTCCTGTTGCTCCCTTTTCTCTGCTGCCATTCCTCTTGAGCATGGGCCAGGAGCGTGGCCACCTGCAGGAGGATCCGCCGTGCTCAGCACCTCATGTGAGATGCTGGGTAGGGCCCCTGGCATGAATATCTATTCAGCAATCCCACCTGAGGCCTTCCCCTTCCTGGGGAGTAGAATGAAGGAAACTGGCTGCTGAAGACTTAAAACATTTTGTGTGTGTTAATACAGTCTGTAAGTCTTTTGAATCTTATATGTTTTTTGTGCTAAGGAAAATAAATAGTTGACTTATACGTGATGTCCCCTATAGAGAACCCTGCTACTTGTATTTTAGTGAGACCCTGGACATTCCTCAGTTTTATTTTTAGGGCTTTCTATGGTATCAGTCAGGAAGACCTGAGTTCAAATCTGGCCTCAGATATTTGCTAGCTGTATGACCCTGGGCAAGTCACTTGACTGTGTTTGCCTCAGTTTCCTCATTTGTAAAATGAGCTGGAGAAGGAAATGGCAAACCACTCCAGTATCTCTGCCAAGAAAACCCCAAACGGGTTCATGGAGAGTGGGACACGATAGAAAATCTCCTACCAAACAACATGGTGGAGACAAAGAATCAGAAAGCAAGAAAGCTTGATTCTGCCATTGGGGTAGCTCCTGCAAGGATAAGTCCAAGTCTATAAGAACACTGAGTCTCTTCATTTTGGGAAGCGGACCAGACAAATCTCCCAAAGTCTCCCAGAATTCTTCATGTTCGTCCTTTCTTACATTATAGCAATCTGGCAGTCAGCCATTCCCTATCTGTGGGTATTCACCTTCCTTCCACTTCTTGGCCATAACAAGAACTGTCCATTTGGGCCCTGCTGGGCTCCAAGTCTGGCAGTAGGATCTCTAGGTCAGTGATTCCAGCCATATTTGCAGACATTTCCTTGTCTCTTTTTTCTGAGCTATTTTCAATTTCAGAATTGTCTCAGCATCGTTTTTCTAAACATCCCTCTTGTGTGTGGACTTTGAACGTGTTTTCCCTCTGGTTTCAGTCTTTTATCCCCAGCCTGCCTCCTTCTTTCCCTCCTACTCCAAGGCCCATCTCATTCTGTCCCATCATCCCCCAACCAGGCAAGGCTTGTTGAATGAAGCCCTTTCATTCTTTTTGAAAGAGCTGGAAGGGGCCCAATATAGGCCAACTAATTGTGTTATAGTAAAGTTATAGGATCATAGATCACTTTCTCCAACCCATTCACGTTACAGAGGAGGAGACTGAGTCCCAGAGAGGGAAAGTGATGAGCTAGTGTCAGACATGGAGATCAGAATTTAGCCTTTCTTCTGCAATCAGATACTGCAGATCTTTCTCACCGTATGCAGTGGGACCCAACATGGGGCACTGCTGAGGCCCCTGAGGTGACCTGGCATCCTGGTACTCTGGTAGGAGGGGGTGGGGCAGTAGGGAATGTTGTGAAGCTGAGAAGGTTGGGGTCAAACCAGGGGAAGGAAGGATGGAAAATTGTCTGGGACGTGCATGAGTAAAGATGGCCAGAGAAGGCCAACTAGGGAAGGTGTTTGGAACCACAAGAACAGAGGCAGAAGTCTTCAAAGAGAATGGAAGAAGATTGTCTCTGGTAAATTAATGTGAGCCTCCTGGGTTAGGCCAGAAATAGAACGTAAAATACCAAAGTTGGAAGGGACCATAAAACACAGAACGTGGAATGTCAGAGCTGGGAGAGGCCTGAGAACATACCCTGCCAGAGCTGGGGAGCTCCTTTCCTTCATGGCCCTTGGTGACCTCTGCCTTGGTGGGATCCCATCTTTCCATCCCATCAGCCCAAATTCTGGGCATCCCATTGCTGGAAACCTATAAGGTGGGGCCCTTAAGAGGCAGGGTGGGCAGAATCCTTCTTCCAGGGAAAAGTATTGGATCATGGATCATGAGTCACAGTGTCAGACTCTAGGGGTGCCCTAAAGCTCTGCCTCGGACCCTCTTCTCTTTCGACACTCTCTGGCTTGGTGATCTGATCATCTCAGGTCTACGTATCCAGCCCCAACATCTCTCCTTAGCTCTGGTCCTGTATCACCAGCTGCCTACTGGACTTTCCAAACTGGATGTCTGAATCATTTCAGACTCAACATTTCAAAAGAGAGATCATTACCTTTCTCCCAGACCCTTTTCCAAATTTCCTGTTTTGGTCTAGGACTCCAACATCAAGTAGGTTGCCTGGGTTCACAACCTTGGTGGCATCCTTAACGTCTCAGGCACTCACCCTGTGGATCTGTCCAATCAGCTGCCGAATCTTGTCTTTCTCTTTCCACAACATCTCTGCAATCTGTCCCCCTTTCTCCACTCACACAGCCACCACAGCTCAGGCCCCTACCCCTTTCATCTGGATAGCTTCAATAGCCTTGTAACTGGTCCCTCTGACTCAAGTCTGTCCCATTCCACCCTCCACACAGCACAGAAAGTGCCGAAGTGATTTTCCTAGTGCTTAGGTCTGTCACTCCTTTCCTCAAGAAGCTCCAATAGCTCCCTTTTACTCCTCCTCCCCCCAGCTTTCGATCCCACCTCCATCCCATTGTATTTATTTTGTACTTAATTGTACCTGTACACTTTGTCTTCCCATATAGAGCATAAGCCCTTTGTGGGCAGGCTTTCTTTCATTTTTATCCTTTTGTCCTCGGTTCCTAAGACAGTGCTAGGTATAGAGTAAGTGCTTAATAAATGCTTATTATTGGTGGTTAGTTGGTTTAGAGTTATGCAGGAGTTCCTCAGGTTCCTCTGTCCCATGAGTCCTATTTGAGGTCCTGAGGAAGAGCTGGGGGCAGCCCCTTCCGTGGTGCAGATCTGCGCCCCACCCCAGTCTCTACGCTAAATTCCCAAAATCCTTTTGAAAAAGAGGTCAGAGGACAGACTTAACATACAACTTCTCCTAGAGAGGAGGGACCCAGGGACGTTGTGGAAGCCCTGAAGAACAAGGGAAAATGTGGCATACTAGAGAGTCAGGAACCTTGGGTTCTAGGCTTGAAGTGCACCGTGGAAAGTGCAATGGATTTGAAGTCTAAATCTAATCTAAAATTTGGAGTCTAATCCTAGCTCTGTGGCTTATTGCTTGGCTCTCCTTTCCTTTGCCTGGGAACTGCTCTGTGACCTTACCCAAGTCACTGGGCCTCAGTTTACTCATGTAATGGGTGAGATGACCTCTAAGGTTCCTTCTAGCTCTGAACTCATCATCCTATGAACCTGATTCTGCTCACCATGTGCATGACCTTGAACAAATCACTCCCTCTCTCTGGGTCTCAGTTTCTCCACTTGCAAAATACAATCAATTGTACTAGACAATCTCTGACGCCTCTTCCAGCTGTTCAGTTCTCTCTTAGACTGAGCTTCAGGGCCCTTAGAGAACAGATTCTAGACCAACTCCATCATTTTACAGAGGGGGAAACTGAGGCTCAGAGAAATTAAGTGACCTGTCTAGGTATTAAGAAGCAGAGCTGAGATTTGAACACAGGTCCTTTGTTTCTAAATCTAGAGACTTTTGAGAAGGGGAGAGAGGTATGGAGTCCTGGGTCCTTGGAATATATGGGTGCCACACAAGAAGGAAGGGTCCAGAAAGGGGAGCTGTCCAGTTTTCTGGAGGGCAAACTTTATCTCCTTCATAAATCCTCTCGGTCAGAAGAGTTTCCCCAAAGAAGAGACGAGGAGATTCCCTTCCCTTCCTTCTTTGCAGAAGTAGGAGACTGTGGGTGGGGAGCGTTGTAGATCTGGTTGATGGGTAGGTCAGTTTTGCTTAATTGTAATTTTCTCCTCTTTCTGTTTTGTTCTTCATTACAAGGAATGGCTTGTTGTACAGGGAGGGATGTCCTGGAAATGAAGGGAATGTGAAAACAAAAAATATCAATGAAAACTGAAAAATATTTTTTAAAGTTCTCTAGCTCAGCCACACTGCCCTGGACCTGGGAGGGGCTCCTGGAGGAGGTATGCCCAAGGATCTCAGGGCTTAGAGTGGAAAGGGAT